AAGCTGGAAGTTTGCCATGTTATTGGTGGGGACCCTTCATGGGTTAAGGTTTAGATGGCCCCAGACTAGCAGGGCCGATGAAGGCTCTGAACTGATGATAGGGACTGTGTGTGTCCAGGGGGCTGGAAATGAAATGCAAGTACAATTCTAGCTCCAGTCATTTAAATCCAGGCTGTATTGCAGAAGATAAATTTCTTCTAGGTCAGGGAGTTTAGTTTAAGACTTCTCAATTTTCAAAGATAATGATGAACCCAATAAGTAAAATAAATGTTCACTAAGAGAATTTAGAAAACCAGCTCCATATTGCAATAGTTCATGGAACTTTTGACTATTTTTTTCCCTTGTGGCAAAATATATTCAGCTGCATAACTTTATATTGCATATTTTTTTCAGGGGCCAAGCCTCTCTAATCAGAGAGTTTGTACTGGGGACAGGTTTGTGTGCAGAAGATACTTCTTTTTTAGAGTTTAGGGATTAAATTGCTCCCAGTTAGGTTTCCTAGTTTTTTCTGCCCGAGCTTTAGTCATTCCTCGAGAGGCCCCTGCCTGTCTGATAAATGCAGGGACAGTGTGACTGACTTTTTGCTACTAGAGCCTTGATCTGAATCACAAGCTTGTTTGGCTTCCCTGGGGCTGCAGACAAGGAAATGCTTGGCTCCAGGACAACTGCCTCTAAGGAAAGCAGTTAATAGAATAGAGCTATTTACATGTTGATCTGAGAGTTCAGCTTGATTACTTTACACGCTCTATTTACATTACACAGGAGAAAGTAACGCAGGCCTAAGAGGACTGCTTTGAATGGGGAGCAAGGTTAAAAAGCAATCTTTAAGGTCAATGATTGCCATATTCCAGTCTTTTGGAATCATAGCGGGGAAAAGGGAGGCCTTGATGTAAAGGTCCCATAGGTTTAAGAACCGCATTAATTTGCCTTAAGTCATGTAAGAGTCTCTAATTTCCTGACTTCTTTTTTATAACAAATACAGGGGAATTCCACGGGCTTGAAAATTCTAATCTATCTAGCTGAAGCTGTTCTTTAACTTGTGTAAGAATACCACTTTTTCTTTATTAAGGGGCTATTCATCCACCCAAACAGGCACAGGGATAGTGTTTCCCTGTCTGTGAGCCTCTTTGAAATCTCTTAATGCATTACTCCCATCAGCTTGTCTGAGGGTTCCTTGTGGAGGAAACTAATAACAATACTTTTTAATATATTTATCAGGTTGAGCAAAGTTCTTTTTAGAAGTTTTCACTCCTGGTGTTTTCAGGAGGGCACGGAGTAATTTTAAGTAATCCCCCAGTTTATCTGCTTTAGTTTCATGTTGGCCCATTACAGTGTCCCTGATGTCTCAATCCTGTTCCCTACGTACGCTTTCCCGGGAATCTTACCGGATTGACGATCTTCGGAGCTTTTTCCCGCCCTTGAATTGCAAGTGCCTCTGAGCAGAGGTTCTCCGCCCCGAGTTTCTACCGTCTTTCAGGTCCCTGTTCGGGCGCCAATTGTCGGCCTCCTCCCCGTCTCCGGCCTGCAGATACAGGAGGCGACGCGATGAGATATCGAAGTCCTGAGTAGGCGAGCCAGGGCACTCAAGGCATACCAACTCAAGAGTGGTGCTGGTGAAAGGAAAGGAGCGACACACAGCAGCAATTCACCGGAGAGTTCCGCTTTATTAGGGAAAGGTGCTGGGTTATATAGGAAGGGGCATGAATTGATTGAGGTGTCACTTCTACGGGGCTGGTGGCTGTTGGCTAGGTGCTGGGATTGGGAGGGGAGCGAGAGGTGATTGGGCTTCAGGTGG